CCAGACGCCACCGCATCATTTTTTCATTTTTGATTTTAGAATTACTTAGTGAATTGAACATAAAAGCGACCGAGCTTACAGTAACGTCCGATCAGAAAATGTCTCCATTTACGAAGTGCTTCCACTATAGCATAGGCTTCTTTTTCTACGGAAGAATGTCGCTGTTCCGATTTCGTCATAGTTCTAGAGAAAAACGCCACTGGTTTTCCAGACTGTATAAGTTGAGCAGCAATAGCATATTCCGATGCGTTAGTTTCAACAGTAAAAGTGGCTTCATCGTCAATGGAAATAACAACAGGGTTTTGTATATCAGTCTTCAACTGTTCAAATGCAGCAGCTTCACAAGCAGACAATGGAAACTTTTTAACTCGAATCAGTGGATGTAAGTTCTTAGAAAACTTATGAATGAATTTGGAATATTGGGCAATCATGCCTTGAACTGTCCTGAGCGAAGCAGTATTAGTAGGTAATGGCAACTGAATCAGTGGTTTAAGTTTGTCTATATTTGGTTTGATTGATGCTCTTTATTTTTACCACAGATGGTTACGTCGTCAAGAAATGCATATGTGTCTTCTAAATGTTCTTGTTTGATAATGTTATTCATATTTCTCTGAAAACAAGCAACGCCATTAGTCACTCCAAAAGGTACACTATAGATTTCCATATGCTTCAAAGGCAGTGTATATACGTTCATGCTCTAGAATTGATATCTGGTGATATGGACTATGAAGATCTATCGAACTGAAATATTCATACTGAGAAATTTGGTTGACCGTATCTTCAATCCAGGGTAACGGGTATGCATCCAACTATTTATGGTCAATGAGTAGTGACAGGATAAGTAATTCCAGATATCCCCATCAAAAGAGCAGCAGTTGTTACCTTAGTAGAATGGGGCTTTTGATTTTTCGATTGACAGACCTGGGTGAAATGACCTTTATTTCAATAGTTGTAACAAATAGAATCTTCCGCTGGTCATTTATCTATGGCATGTCTAGATTTACTACAAAAATAGCATTTAGAAGCGACAGCTGCTATAGCATGGTCATTTTCGAACTGTACATTCGAAGAAGAATTGTCACTAACTTAATTGATTAGCAGATTAAGTTTATCTTTATCTTCTTCCACTTTAGCAGCTCCCAAAAAATTCTTAAAAGAGTTCATTAATGAGCAATGAAATTCAAGTATAAAAAGTGCTGCACCAATTTTTGGTTTTGCGGATGCTGGTTGAAATCTCTCCAATGAAAACTTTTCATGAAAACGTTGTTAAAAAAACTGCTCCAGCAAAAGGCAAAATGTATCACGTTGAGTAAATAAAACTGAAATAAAAACCAAATAAACCACTTTTTTCCCTTATCAAAGTCAAACGCATTCGTTCAAGCTAAAATAACAACTTGCCGATGTCGAATAATCGGAACAAACATGTATATAGGTATACCTAGTGGAAAAACTCGACGTGTTTTCTTTTCAAAAGCCAGAGGAAAAACCAGGCCCCGCACCGTGAAGGTAATCAATTTTCCATTTTACGTTATCATTTTTCCTTGGATAAATTCGGGCGGGTTATTTTTTTTCCGTCGAAAAACTATGGCCCAGGCTTTTGTGTAGTTCATACGGCTGAGAAAGAGGGCACCGACGGGTTGATTTGGCTTTTTTTATATTTATGCAATGCGTAGGGAAACGGCTGCGGATTATGGATGGAAAGTGAAAACAGGGTTTTTTTGTTTGTACATAAAGACCTCATATTCTAAGACTGACTAGAGTTTTTTGGGTTGAGATTCAATTTTGGCGCCCGAGCAGGGACCGTTCAGATTTGAAATAGGGAGTTCTCTGACCGTATCCCCGGCGTTGTGAAAGTTTACTAATTTTTTTTTTCTCTTTTCATTGTTTTTTTTTCTTCTTATCTAGTAATTTTTTTTTTTTAAATTAATTCCTCATTGCTGTTTACCGAACATCCAAGATGAGCGATAGCAAAGCTGCGACAATTACGACTACGACTGTAATCATCACCACCCCAGTACCGAGCCCCTTATCAAATGCCCCAACCGACACCAACGATTCTCGTGTAAGGTGGATCTACAATCTCCGGAGTACTGAAGTTGTCGCGGAATAACAGAAGTTCGCATTATTGAACACTAATGGCACTATGGACGAGCTTCGAAAACGCCTGATTAAATTCATCAGGGATGGAAACCGCACCCCAACCAAAGTAGCACCCCCTTTCGTATTCCCTGCAAACCTCACCACTACTACGGTACCTTCAATTATTACCCCCTGCCGTCCTAGTCAAAATGATCCCCGACCGGCCCCTCAATCAACCAACCCTTAGCTAGTGAAACAACACCTGCGATACCGACCGGTAATTTTTTACCGAAAACGAGGCACTGGAATATCCAGTTTTCTAGGGGAGAGACCCCGCTGCTTTTCTGGAGCGACTGGAAGAAATCTGTGTCACACAACAAGTGAACCCCGATAGTTTGCTACAGGTTCTCCCTGAAATACTCCAGGGAAAGCCACTCTCTGGTTCCGAAATAACCTACATTATTGGCAAAGCTGGGATGAGTTCATTCCAGCATTCTGCACTTGTTATTTTCCGGTGAACTATGAGGTGGACTTGGAAGCGAAAATTAGCCGTCGACTTCAGCGTCCTGGGAAGTCCGCGATAGCTTAGCATGCAGACCATGATTAGGAGGCTTGGTGGAATTTCCCCAGTCCAGGAACTCCAGTGACTATACCGCAACTTGCGTCCCGAATACCGACATTACAACCGCCGATCCGACTTCCACGATATTCAATCCTTCTCAAAGGTGGTGCGAGAATATGAGCTACTACACCAGGAGCTGAACGCTCCTGAGGAATCCCGGCGGAATTCGGACTTCCGTAATCTTGTTTCCACAGACCGAACCCCCAAGTTAACCGTCCAGCCCAGTCAGCCTGCCTTACCCCCTTAGTCCGAGTACCGAATGTCAACACCGCACCCCGAAAAACCACAGAAGTAAAATGTTGGCGATGCGGCCAAACCGGACATCTCCGGGATACCTGCATGAACCCACAAAAAAATTTCTGGTCTCGTTGTGTAACTGAAGGGGTGCTATCCAGAGACCGCCGGGAAACTAAATCGGCGCCGTTCTCCTACGAGACCTGTACGGAGTTCCGCCCTCGTCTCACTCATCCAGAGTCTCCGAAAACGTGTGGAAAATCGACCGTATGTTCCGGTTACCGTTGACCAGCAAATATTCCTGGCTTTGCTATGGATACAGGGACTACTAGCTCGTTTATCGGCGACAAACTGGCTCAATACTGCAAAAGGACCGCTTCCCAAAATGCAGATAACATGCCAAGGAGGACCCTATTAGCAAACGGCCAATCGTTCAGTACCGAAAGCCGCTATATTTTAACTTTGGAACTGGGCTCCACCATCCTTGAAACATAGTTCAGCCATTTACCCGATATAACTGCCGATTAAGTAGTTGAGATAGACATTTTATACAAGCTTGATTTCGTCATCAACTTACGGGACCAGTCCGTCACGTTAAATTAGGAACAAGTTTCCGCACTAGCCAAAGCAGAAGAAGTCAATCTTTTAGAACTCGAGACTCCGAAAGACTCCCCGCCGCCCTTAACACTGACTGCCAGCGAGGAAATCCAGTTGAAGGAATTCTTAGACATTGAGGTTCCACTATTCGTACAAATCACTGGAACGACTCCACTGGTAGAACACAAAAAACATTTAACTGACTCAGAATCAGTAAAACAACGGTATCGTCCATAAAACCCATGTATGCAGGAGATCATCAACTTTTTGGTTGATGAAATGCTTCGAGAAAGATGGTCGTTGTCGGTTCTGAGTGGATTTAAAGAAAGTCAACGAACGTAGTTGCCGTTCATATATATTTCCAGCATCGACCTCAAACAAGGATACTGGCAGGTGCTGCTGGCTAAAGATAGCCGACCGATAACCGCTTCTACCGTTCCGTCTCGGGAATTATTTCAGTTCAAGGTTATGCCGTTCGGCTTACACTTCGCCCCAGTGACCTTCCAGTGCTTGAGAGATGGCATCATTGGTCTGGACATGGACCCGCACTGCTTCTGCTGTCTGGATGACATACTCGCCTATACCGTACCGCTATATTTTTTGCTTTGAAGAAAGAGGGGTGTGTAACGAAGTTACTATCTTTTTTCTTTCCGCTACCCGCATCCTATTAGAGACATAGGTATTTTTTGGTTGTTTGGTTTCTTGTGTATTGTTAGTTACTACAGTGTATTGTGAGTTTTAATGCCAACTCCCTGCTCCTACTATTGACGCCCTGGACATTTTGTACTTCATTTAGCTACCTTACGGCTGTCCGTAAGCGATCTCTTTGTCGCTTTCAAATAACTCAAAGCAAGTTCCGCCGTAACTCGACTAGCCGTCCAGCGAAAAGCCAGAAAGGCTTTACAAAATTGGCGCCCGAGCAGGGACCGTTTAGATTTGAAGTAGGGAATTCTCTGACCGTATCCCCGACCTTGTGAAGTTCACCGATTTTTTCTTCTCTTTTCATTGTGTTTTTTTTTTCTTCTTTCGTAATTTAAAAAAAAAAAATCTTCATGAGCAATAATTCCAAGATGAGCGATAGCAAAGCTGCGACAACGACTACGTAACCACAACCACACAAGTACTTTTAATTCCAAATTATTTCAATCAGAAAAGAAGCTTTGCCCTTGTACCAGCAAAAAAACAAGCCACTTTCTATCTTACTTAAATATCAATTTACAACCAGCAAAATTATGTGGCAACATTCTCAATTATCGACACATACAGAAAAATATGATAACTTAAAATATGGTAATTAGAAAACTAATTAGACCGTTCAAAAACCGTGGTACCGCAGTGATGCGTGTGGGTGTCCACTGATGTGAAGAACCTCTGTGGTACCTTTTTAAGGTTAAACAACTCTAATGTTAGAAAGACATACGGCTTTGTTTAAATTTAAAAATATGCATTTTAAGCACACAATTATTACCTGTCATGTCCTTTCACCTGCAATCTGATTGATCCTCCATCACTTGTATCTCTTCGGACGCGTTTGTGTTGCTGGACCAATATGGAAGGATCGTAACTGGCGACATCGTAGTGTTTTATCCAGGAATTAAGCTCGAAATCTGGAAAAAAAAACAACAAGAATATTATTTTTCCAAATTATCAGAGTAGAGACAATTTTCACCCTTCAAACTCATTCGTTTCAATCAATCAACACGCACCAAAATAATGTCGAAATTCTACTTTGGAGAATCAATCAAATACATTTTAGCAGGGATATTTTTCTGTCAGAACGAAAAACGAATTAACACAGCTCGCTTAATGAGCACGTCAAATCACAAACCGTTCTACAAACAAATTCAAAATATAACTCAATCCAGAGACTATCTGGGAACCATTTGCCTAGATTCCTGGGCGCCATAAAGAGGAAACGGTGTATCTTAAATTACAATTGCAAATGTACATCGCTTCCAAGAACCGGCTGGCAATTCGTATTCCTGTAGATAAACTGAGTTTAGAGTCCTGTCGGGATTTAAAGTTTCCCTACAAATTTCCACAATTCCAACGAACAAAATGGCTTAACTGATAGTTTCGTCGGCTTTTTTAAAGCAGCAGTTTTTCAAAGTTTAGGAGCGTGTTCTAGTTTTATTTGAGTACCTCTTTTTTTTAACGGGGTCACAATCATTATTGTGCTTGATTTACGTGAGTTGTATAGATTTTTGGCTTCATTATACATCAAAAAATCGTTTTTTTTTTTGCAGGCGCGTTATCCTTCCTCATTACGTTTTGGCACCATTTTTCTTCGGGAAAAAGCTTATTTGAGTGACGGGATTTAGCTGAGACTTGAAATTTATTAAAGTAACGATACAAAATTTGCCACAGGAAGGCTTTAAGTTGATTTGGTGCCGTTTTATTTCCGCTTTTCATTCGTCAAGTTAACTTTCCGGGGACTCGCTAAATGCTAATACTGCTGAAGGGAGAAATGTCTGAATTTTATCTCGTAGTGATTTTTGTTTTTGGTGTGCGATCAGCATTTTCTATTGGAATTTGTAATTGAATAATTTATTGAATAGTTTGAATATTTTTTATCAAGTAGTTACTCCTAATCCTAATTTTCATGAAATCAGAGTTGGAAGTGTAGTGCTGTAGCCAAAGGTTACAATCAAAATTCTTTGGAGTAGGTATAGGGTCACTTGAACCTGAGAACTTTTTCTAAGCCAGCTAATAAACCAGCTTGAAACCAGCTAGCACAGCTTAATTTCGCTGGTTTTTATAGGTTATACGAAGTCAATCCGAATAGCATAGAAGCTGTGTAGGCAGCATCTTCTTATGTTCATGTTCCCTGAATCACGTTACCTTGATCGTCATCTTTCCTGTTTCGGATTTCTGAAGGTCACGCGTCCCAGTTTATAATATCCTTTAAACTGGGTTCTTTCTAGGGTCTTGGACGAGTTTTCATCCATAAAGCAGGAGCCATTTTCCCTGGCCTGTATTTTGTATCCCAAGACGGGTCTTGTGACTTTTACTGAGGTCGCTTCTGGCTCTAGCACGAAAACGACGAACCTTGGCCTTGCTGGGAGATCCTCAGGGTTAACAACCCTGAGTGCTGCCTCCTCCCAGAGTTGACCAAGGGGTTCGATGCTTCTCCTTAGCCGATATTCTTAATTTTCTCAACTAGCGGATCAGCTGGTTTTATCCTCTGACGTTGTTGGAACGGAGTTTTTGGTTGCTGCTCCATGCATTGGGCTATCAGATTCTGCTACTAGATCTTCTCTGATAGTTGTTCTAGAAGGGTCTGAGTCAGAACCTGCCTCCTCCCTTCCTTTGATTTGTTTTTTGGGTGTGTCGACTCCTACGGAGCCCCTACACAGAAGTAAGGTTTAATACTGTGGGATTTCGCCCGATTTCCCAGAGGCTCCGCGCACCTTTGCAGATATTTTGTACGTGACTCTACATCTTAAGTTGTCTTCAGGAAGCGTAGACTTCTGCTGAAGGAAGTTATTTTTCTGGGTGTCAGTTGGCCCACTTCTTCTGGTGACAATGTTGCCCCCTCGAGGAATTTGAGCCTCTTGCAGAATTGGGCTGGACATTGGGAGAGTAGGTGCTCTACGGTCTCTATTGCGTCTGAGCAGAATCGGCAGAGATCGTCTTCTGCTCTACCCATTACCTTAAATGATATTTTACCAGGCAGTGTCCTGTGAGCAGTCCTACCACCAATCTGATGTCTGGTCTGCTCATGTTTAGGAGCTGTTCAGCTCTTTTTGCTGGAAGGGTAATAAACCTTTTTGACTGTCTGAGTCTCGGAGTGTACCTCTAATATGATGACAGTTGGTCTTTTTCCCATTTGTTGAGTTCTTCTATGATGTGGCATTTCATTAAGCCGCAGTAGGGCTCTGGTCTATGATATGGTGTTGAGGCCCCTTCTTTTGCGAGGCCATCTGCTTCTTCGTTTCCTTCTATGCCTCGATGACCAGGCAGCCACATCAGCGTTACCTGGTTGTATGTCGCTAGTGTTTTTAGGGTCTGTTCACACTCCCAGACTAGTTTTACGTGAAAGCCCTTAAGGCTTTTAAGGCAGCTTGGCTGTTCGGTAGTATGAAGATGTTTTCTTTTGAGGCTTTGGTTAAGACACTCTTGTGCACATATATCTATGGCAAGCAGTTCGGCTTGAAATATTGTAAGATGTTTACCCAATGCCTTGGAGAGCTTGAAGTTAGGGCCGGAAATGCCCAGTCCAGCTCCTTCCATTAGCTTGGATCCATCTGTGTACCACAGAGATGCATTGTCTGCTTGTGGTAGGTAATTCTTTATTCTCCCATGATTGACGGTCGTTTATTACCACTGCGAATGGGATCTCAAGTCCAATCTGACCATCATGTGGTCACTTGGTTTGCTGGCATTCTCCAGTTTTATTAAATCAAGGACGGCAGATGTCTCCTCAGATCACCAGGCTTAAACTTGTCTGTTTGGAATAGCCTGTGAGCGCTGGTTATTGCCTCCTTTTTCACACATAGGTGAAGTGGGGGCATGTTGAGTAGCGTCTCTAGGGCTGCGGTGGGGCAAGTTGACATTGTTCCCGTTATTCCTAGACATATCAGCCTTTGTACCTTTCTTAGCTTGATCTGAGCTGTGACTTGCTGGGTTTTGGGCCACCACGCCAATGAGGCATATGTGACCATGGGCTTTATTGTAGTTTGGTAAATCCAGAATACCATCTTTAGCTTTAGCCTCCATATTTTGCCAACGAGTTTTCGGCATGACCAGATGAGTGATGTAGCTCGAGAGCATGTTTTCTCTAATTGTTTGTTCCAATTTAAGTAAGTGTTCGGTCCAGGGTGACCCCTAAGTACTTCACTTCGTTGAAAAATGTTAGTTGCGTATACCGTTAAGGGTGGGGGCTTTCAAATTTAGCTTCTTTCTTCTTGTGAACGGGACAAGGGTTTTTTTGTTCGCGTTTAGGGATAATCCCTCGCCTTCGCTCCAATTTTTAACGATGTTTAGGGCACTTTGCATTCGGCTTGCATTACGCCTTCATGTTTGCCTTGATTATAATGACCAGGTCATCTGCATAGCCTATGACCTGGTACCCAGCATTATTCAGTCTGGTAAGAATTTTACCTACCACCAGTGTACATAGTAGTGGAAATACACCAACTACGACCACTGCAATATCACCTTTTGAAATTGTCTATACTTGAAGTATAGCCTCGTACACGTTTAGATCTCTTAAAACCTGATATTGGTTATAAAACAACTAAAAATAAGTCATTTGTCGTAAGCAATTTTTTTTTTCTAATGAAAAAGTGTGAAGTTCAGGAAAAGAGATAAATTTTGGGCTTATGGCGTTATTGATAAAGTTTAAAAAATTTATTTCGTTGACATTAAATTTACATTTGGTTTTGTTAAATTTTACACCCTCACTTCTAGCTCTATTCAGCCCTGCTAATAAATTTTGATCATGTTCTTCCTGTGTTCTACCAAAAACTTACAAGTCATTTAGATAGGACACTTGACCGTTTAACCCCTCAAAAATTAGTTTGAATTGCTTTTGAAACACTTCTGGTGCTGAAGCTGTACCAAATAGCAGCCTTGAGAACATATATCTGCCAAAAGGTGTTGCAAAGGTACACAGTTTTTTACTATATTTTTTCAGAGGTATCTGGTAAAAGCCTTGATTTACATCGAGCATGCAAGCAAGATTTATATTTAAGACAATCAGCCCTATGCACTAAGCACCTTGACTTTAATGTCAAGGTTGAAATAATTTCAACATATATTGACTTCCATTTCAATATTGGAAAAAATTGGGATGCTGTATGTACACTTGAAATGAAATTATTGAAATGGAAAAAGATTGAAATTAATGTCAAGATTTTATTTGGCAACGTTGTTTTTTTGTATCGGCATAGCCTGAAAGTCGGTTCCATCCACAACAGAAACAGAATAAAAACAATAAAACCATAATAATTATTATTTGTAATATTCCTAGTAACATATTTAATTAGAGTCAATGATGTCATAAGATTGTTCCATTGTGAGTATATATGTAAATGTAAGGATTCTTTAACTTTAGAACATCAGTACTCTACTGTTAGCCTGGAGTTAGAAACGTCATCTGAGCGGTCACCCACTAAATTACCTCAACCTTCTACTACATCTATTTCGGAAGCGGATGATGTTGCTTATTATTCAGGAGGCACTAGCTGATGTGACACACATAACCTCACAATGATATTTTTGTCCCCCTATCGAAAGTGACGTTATATGAATTTTTGACGTTAATGCCTAGCGCCATGTAAAAATAGACCGTTCTGTGAATAGACCTTCAAATGCTTTGTTTGTCCCAGCATCGAAATGTGAGGTTATATGTGACGTCAGCAAGTGTCTAAATTAGGCACTTAGGCAATTAGGCAACCCTGCAAGTTAGGAAAATGTTAATTCATAGATTTGTCATGTCGTGTGATCATTCAAATCAAACCCTGTTGGTTTATAGTATTCGTAATCTGTTTTCTGGCCATGTAATAAAGTTCTGTGTCCATTAACTATGTTTTATTGTCAAAACATTAAAGGTGATTTCGCCTCAGTTTGGTACCCCCCAGTTTGGTCTGTCAAACAGGTACCA